TGGATGACCAACATTAGAGCTCAGGAATATCAACTAAAATCGGATCTATCTCATCGTCCTCGAGCTATTGGCTTGCAACACCAAATATCATTTGGTATCATGCAACTCAAGCTTTTCCTCACTTAATTGGACCATCCCAACAACTAGACTGAGATAAGAGATTCGCCTGATCAAATGAAAATATAATGAGTTAACTCGAAGAAGAATGGAAGATAATTAAAAAAATATGTCTTCTAGTAGATGGATAAAATAATAGTTATGTCGAAGAATGACAAAAGAAAGAAAAGAAAAAAAACATTCTGCTGTGAACTTGAATCCAAGAGGTTAAGTGGTTGTCCATTGAAGTAAAAAAATGTACATTCCATCATTGGCTTCTTGTAATTTTGCGTACCTTAGAATTAGGGTAGGCAACAGAGTTACCTTTGGTTGGAGCACCGTAGGATCATTTCCAAACCATAATCCATCACAAGTAATGAACTTTAGTTCTTTCCTCTTCAAATTGCAAGAGAAGACAACATAACCATAATAATGAGGAAGCATGCACCATAAAAATACAATTTTTGATTTTTTGTCATGCTGACCAACCACATGTAACCCGTCACTCTCTAAGACTTTAAATTCGTGATGTCTTCCGGTGACACGGGTAAACTTATTCAACAACATCTCATATCGTGCCCTCCAACCTTTCTCCCATCCCCAAAATCTCAATGCATCCGTTGGATGACCAATTTCCCTCGCGTGTAGGAGAATCATGTGCAAGGCCTTGGGAGGTCCAAACAGAGGATCGGTAATTGTTGATCTCATGAGCATCTATAAGAGTTCGGTCATCTCGTGGGCGAAAAGGATTTCATTTGACAACTTTCCTTTGTCTATTCTTCCAATACAACTTCCCATTGTGTGAAACTACAACTTTATCATAACTTGAATTCGGTGCTGATCGACTAGCACGATCAAGACACAGTGAATTTCAACTTTCATATTTTGAAGAGAACACATCCAAGCAATTGTAATACATTCGCACCATGCAAAATTGCTACTACAAATCATGAGTGAATGATTTCTCTTCAAATTCCCTTGTATCTAGAGAAATAGAATTACAGGGCTCGCACACTAATCTTGTAGTAAGATGCCTTCCACTGGTTGGATGTCTTCCACTGGGCCTTCGAGGTGCTAGAGGAAGGCAAACCCATTGCTTCATGAATGGATTGTAGATGAAGTATGTTCTATCAAATTTGTCCTTGTTGCTGGTGTACCCCATTCTCGAAGATGATTAAGAGCAAGTTGTTATGAAAATGTTAACGTATACTATGTTTCTTGCAACACAAGTCATATATAGAAACAAAATGAACACAAAGTTAAGGAGAAGAATTGATACTCATGCATAGAAAGTTATCAAAACATGCGTAAACACCGTCCGAGCCAATAGAATGCACTATTTCTCTTTAAAGAATTTAGTTCCCCTCTATGGTACCCAAGGTCATGGAACTATTTCTCGCTGGATAAAATGGACGTACCTTTTCTGGCATACCGATCCTTGAAACCCCAAAAAATCAACAAACGCAACGAATGACGAGAAGTCGTGCCACTCTGTTTGCTTGTATGCGCTTGTAGGGAGGAAAGTGCAATGAAGAAGAAAACTATTTTTTTCTCTTTCATAAAAAATTATATGGGAAAAACTTATGTATGAAAACATAGGGTTGGAGCTATTTATAGAAAATGAAGGGGTATTGTGTGAAGGATGTGACTCTTCGAGTGGGTGGTTACACCCCAACCATTGCAATTGTTCATTAAAAAATTCTCAACCACGACATCGGTTTGGCCCATGATAGTTGGACTGGTTGGTTATTCCAATTGTCACATCAATTTGGTTCAACTCGGTTCTGGTCAAGTTTGTCAACCCGCGGGTTGACCCGGACCCAGTTGAGCTAGTGAGTCAAGGGTTAATGGGTCAACCGTTTTAGCCCGGTTTGGCCCGGAAATATGGAAAAAGTCATTATATTGTACTTATCCTCATAAATTATATCAAATCTTATCTAACATATAAGTTATAACATATAATATTACACCAAAATAACATATCGTATATAGATCCAACATATAGTGAAAATTCACACGCACTTATATAACATAAATATTCAAATGTTCAACTTAGCATTCCAAAAGTTGAGCTAGGCGAAAAGAAAAATCGGAAAATAGGCGCATTTCGCAAACCAAAGAAAAAAATGAAACAATTTCACCTCCAACCCGGTCCCTTGTAGCGGTCGGCCCGGCGAGTGCGTGCGGCCCGTTTTTCTCACTGGGTCAGGGTCAAAGTGGGTCAACCGCGGGTTGACAACCTTGGTTCTGGTGGGTTACACAAACCAACATAACCAATTATCGAAGAGATTTAATGAAATAAAATCAACCAACCGAGGCCACCTTCCCACATCTCACCTATATGGTATTTCAAGAGCTTCTCTTATCTCATTCCCCTTTCATTCCCATTCACACCATTCAAAATTCCAACACAAGTCCATGAAGCAATCAAGAATTAGAAGTAATGGGGTCGAATTTAGTTTCTAGGCATGGGTAGGATGAAGCTACTTATACCAATTTATGGGAGTCCATGGGACTCAGAATAGGTGGTTCTGCTCCTGCGGTGGCGGCGAAGGATTTGCATTAGAGAGGAAAGGAGAAGGGAGTGAAGATGAGAGAGTTTCAACGATTGCAGAAGGATTTGTATTGGAAGGCGAATAAGGATCTCTATGAGGAGTTCGTCGTCTTCGAGTTTGCTAATGGAGTAGTCAAATGTAGTAGTCCGTGGTCGCCATGGCGATGGCGGGCTTGTAGAGGGTGAGATTAATTGGGAGAAAAGATAACAGAGTGTCGAATGAAGCACACAAATTCCTAACCCCTATATTAGTTAATAATTTATTTATAAGTCTACTGTTTTAAATTTGCCTTCTTTAGGTTGTTATATCATTATATGTATTGGGTAACACAAGCTCGACACCGCTGGCCTAGTGGGTTAGTTTTGGAACCCTTTCGGCCTAACCTAATCGAAATCTGCAGTAGGTGAATGATGATTCCAATCTTCTGCTCCACTGGTGGGATCTTCTCCAATAGCTGTCATAAGGGAAGGGGGAGATGGAGGGTTGGTGAAGGGGGAAACGAAGCTTGGTCCGAGCTGGGGAAGTGGGGGAAGCAAGGTACATAGGGTAGCCTGGATAAGGGGTTGCTGTTGCTGAGAACTAAAACGTTGTCGCAATGAGATACATGAGTTGGAAATCCAAAACACATAGCGACACTTAAAAGGGAGTGAAAAGTCAAGATTACCCATCCGGGAAACACTCTCCTTCCAGCAAATTCAAAATGGAGAAAAGTTGGAGCATGAATCTCCATCTTATATTTTGTTGTAGATAATAATTTAAAATTTTAATGATGAAATGAAATTTATCTTATATGTATATATTAGAATATATCTCTCGTAAAAGAAAACCTACCTAACCCCATATCACTCATTATTTCCCTTCCCTCTCTCTTTCTTCTCCCTCTTTAAGGGTCAGACCCAGAGTTTTTCGGAGGCCATTTTGATTTTTGAAATATGACTTTAGTCGAACCGGGTCCAACCGAGGGGTCGGTAGGGGTTTCATAGCCTTGGTATATAGGCTATATGTTCCCTAGTTAGCACGCCTAGCAGATGCTGCTTGAAGCTTTGAACTATGATTTTAAATAATAATTAGTCTTTTGCTAAGCAATTAATCCGAATCATGTTACTTCGCCGACTCCCTTCGGTTATGTCTATGGATGGTAACGAGTCGGTTCGGAGATTGATAGTGTATATCCATTAGCATACTTAAGTGGTTCATGTTGTATCTATATTCATACTTGTTCTTGATTTAAGTAGTAAACAAAAATCATACTTATTTATGTTCGAGTTTCGGTTAGTAGATGATTAATAGTATATATTACAAATGCCAAATATCTTGTGAGAGAGAATGATGATTCATAGAAAAATGTACTTATGAATTTCTAATCGAGCGACTTCGAGTTGGATAGTACAAAAATTATGTCTGTTCATTACTTATAATGTTCGGGTGCGGATACCACCAAGTATTTGGTTTAATTAGGGAATTACCATATTTAATTGGGTCAGGTTCAAATGATTAACCATGTCAGCGGATGTTTTTTAATAGGTCTCAAACCTCATACCAAGTAGTCATCACCACAAAACATATTGCTTGACAATGATTTCTTTATCTCATCAACTAAATATTTTCAACCTTACAAGAGACACTTTTTCTTCTACCAAATGCATTTCCCCCCTTAAGATATCGAGTTGCACTACAGAATTCAGACATAAAAAAATCCATCTCCCTTTGCTCATCATCCAACACCTATATAACATTCTATTTCAAGTTTAGAAGAAGATAGTTTTCAAAAAGTTTAGAAGCAGATAAAGTATAACGAGATAAAAATGGAATAAAATAAAATAACGCAATTCGTCTTTCGATCCTTCTTGAGTTCACAAGGTTGGTACTTGATAGACGGTTTGGTTGAATTGAAGTCTAGTGTAGGTAAATTTTTGTAGTTTGGAATTGCAGTAGATAAGAGAGCAATTTTTTATTAAAACTCTATCGAACTACATTCATGCGATTTCGATAAACTAAAAACTTGATCAACGAACAATTTTCTATTGGAACTCCTTCCAACTCATTCATGCAATTTTTTATAAGTTAAGAATTTCACTGCTACCGTCCTCAAATTCATGATCAGCAAATAACATAATGATGACGACTTTGAAGAAAACTTTATAGATGAACAATTTATGACTTTTGTGAATGTTGACTAACTACATCGAATGTTCCTAATCGAACACTCAATTTTGCGACAAGATCCATCAACAACAATGCCATTCAGAGCGATCAATTGCTTTGTGTTCTAACCCGTTCTACCTCCAGTTGTCACTTGATTCGCATCAAGAAATCCAGCTTAAACTGTAACTAGCCTATGTTAAGAAACTAACCTGAATCTGGTTCCTTGAGCCCCTTAGGTAGCACAGAACTCGCTGCAGAACACAGAACTCCATTCTACTGTAACAACTCAGAATGACTGCTCAGTTCCTGGATGAAGGATTTGAGAAAACGAACCCTTCGCCCCCAAACTCTATTAGCACGTTGACACATGACCACAAAACTTACTGTTACACAAATTATTATAACCATGATCTGATCAACCATATTTTACTAATAATATAATATATCTTCAACCTTCCCTGCAGCATATACTTTCTCTTCTACTAAATGCTATTTCCACTGATGAGAATATTTACTAGACAATAAATTAGAACATTGGATATCGAACTCGAAAATACAAGATATTGCTTTCCGTAACAAGGTTGCATGAAGATTAAGGTAACAAGATAAAAGGGTTAAGGAACAATTATTCTTCTAATTATCATCTTCATTCACAAGGTTTTCACAGTCTAAAATTGTTGTAGATCAGATATCAATTCTCGGTGGGAACACCATTCTATTACATTGCTTATCGCGATAAGCCAAGAACTCCAGCTCTTTCATCCTCAAATTACACGAGAGGAGAACATAACATTCTTTGTCGGGATGAAAAGCTGTAAGATATATAATTTCCGGCTTGTGTGAATGCTGACCAACAACATTGAGCGCCTCTAACTCTGAGCACTTAATTTTACTACCCCATTTGTCGGCAGCAGCAATGTTGTACTTCAACGAGACTTCATAATGTCTCCTCCAACCTTCTTTTTCTAGTCTCCACACACTCAAACTATCCATTTCGCTGTCCATGTCAATCATGTACAGAGCACCCTGCGAGCTGCAAATGGAGGTGGAACAATTTGACGCACGCTTGGGTTTAACCCAGCTCTCGATACCCTGTAATCTCTCGTAGTTTGGAATCGCGGTAGGCCAGAGATCCATCCTTGGTTGGAAAACCATATGATTATAGTGCTGTCTTCCACGAGCCAAGAACTCCAACTCTTCCACGCTCAAATTGCACGAGAGGATGACATAACGATCGCTCTTGGGATAAAAACCTTTCAGATAGATAACTTCCGGCTTCTGTGAATGTTGACCCACGACAACAAGCCTCACTAGCTCCGAGCACTTGATATCGAGACCGCATTCGTCAATAACAACACCACACATTAATTTCTTGAACGACACTTCGAAATGCCTCTTCCAGCCTTCTTCTTCCAGCCTCCAAACGATCAAGCCATCCACTTGTTTCACCCGGCCTGGAGGCCGAGTACCTTCCATGTTAATAATGTACAGAGCACCCTGCGAGACACAAATGGTGGGGCACTGATAGGATGGCAAACGGATCAAAGTTCGAGGACGATTATCGTTCTCCAGGCGAAAAGGATTCCACTCAACCACCTGACCCATCCAAGTCATCCAGTATAGTTTTCCATCAAACGAGACTACAACCTTGTGTAAATGCCTCAGCCAATTTGATGGGTTGTAATCCAAATCAAGAACCACTTTCGTCCATTCAACCGAATTCGAACAGAACACGTCGAGGATTACAGCAATTGGATCTTCTCGTCTATACATACGAACCACGCGAAATCGATAGTCGGAACTATGAGTGATTACTTCTCCTCCCCCGTCGCCCGAATCCAGAGTAATAGAGTTACCGGCCTCGCACACTAATCTTGCATTCTCACATCGACGTTCCAGCGGAGGCGCTAAAGGAAGGGCTACCCATTGCTTTGTAAACGGATTGCAGAGGATGAATGTTCGGCCCAGTCCGTCGTACTTCCACTTGCTGAACCCGACCAAGAGCAGGTCCTTGAAGCAATCCGAAACGTAGGAGCGGGATCGGATTTCATCGCTAGGCACAGGTAGCAAGCTGGACATCAATTCGTCGCAATCTGAGGGAAGTAGGAGAGGGGGTTCGCCGGCGGAAATAGTCCGCTGGTGAGAAACCAAACGGCGAGAGAAGCAAGGAGCGGAGATGATAGAATTCCAGCGCTTGCAGATGGATTTGCACCGGAAGGCGGATCTAGGGTTTGGAAGGCGGATAAGAACATCCACCAGCAGATCATCTCCGAAGTTGCTGATGGAGGCAGGGGTGGTAACTTGTCGTTTCCCGCGTCCGTTTGCAGCCGAGCTGCGGTAGTTCTCGGCCGCCATGGCTAGCCGTCAACGCGGAGGTTAGGAGAAAAGAAGACGGAGCTTCTGTATCTGACGGACGGACAGGAATCCCGAACCCTCCAATTCCTATTTTATTTTTCCGTAGTGTACCTGCATTCTGGATACAACTCGTGTATAACATGTCTAATTTGTAGAATAATTGTTTTATATATTAATGTATTAATAAATATATAATTAGTTTAGGGACGAAGTAAAATATTCATAAATATTTTAAATATAACTTACTCGTACCTTATTCATAAATATTTTGAATAATTGTGCAAAATTAAATATGTCATCTTAATTTTCAGTAGGCCACTTTGGAGGGTGATATTAATTTTTTCATTTTATTTACTTTTTTAAGTCGTTAGAATTTTTTTTTGTTTTACTCTGAATTTTAAATTTTTGTACAAATAAAATCATTTTATTGTGATTTAAAGAGTTATATCAATTTTCAAAATATTTCAATAAAAAAAGGGCAAATACAATGTAATATCCATAACTATTATGGATCGGGGATTTATATTCTCAACTATCAATATACAAATTAATATCCAATCGTTAATTGTCTGTTAATACACCGTTAGTAGGTCTTTCTGCAATGCTGACCTGGTAAAAAAAACAGAGGTGGAATTGAGAACGTGGCATTCAGGTGGAATTGATTAAGTAAATAATAACATAAAACGTAAAAAATAAAACAAATATTACCCCTCCCCTCCTCTCACATCCGCTCACCCAATTCTTATCCTCAACCCCTTCTTCTCTCATCTGTCCATCTCCCCCTTCGTCTGCAAAGACACGAAATCGTCGACAAGGATCCACTCACCGTCCTGCAGGCGTGGCGGCGAGACTGCCATTGCCTGAGTCCCCCCTACCAAAAACCCCAATCCCTCTTTTTTCACCCATCGGAAGTCACGAAACAAACCCCCCAATCGTCAATCCAAATCCCCAATCTTCGATCCAGGTCTGGAGAGCTCATCGTCGACAAGAAGCCACCACTGCCTCAGAGTACGCACTGGGACTCCCCGGTATGCGACTCGGAGTTGCGCTCTGTGCATCGGAGCTGGAGCGAGGTCGGTGATAGTCAACGCCTTCTGCAGTCGACGGCAGTCGCAGTACCGTAGGTCGGGACCAAATCCAGGTCAATAGTCTTGTGACCGTTGACCGAATCTATGAAATCGAGGTCATTTTCTCCTCCAGATCTAGGCTGCTCCTGAGTGGCGACTTTGCTGGAGAGGATGGCGCATGAGCTCTGCCAGTCGGATCTGCTGCGGACGACGCCAGCGAGGCAGTTGATGGAGTCGTAGGAGTGGTGAATGCAGTGGACGACGAGTGGTGCTGCCACGACGGAGGGACAGCTAGTCCCGATTAACGAGGAGTTGAGAGACGACAGAGGCTGGGTAGGGCGGAGGAAGATAGGGGAAGAAGAAGAGGGAGACGGGAGGGCGGAGGAAGCCAGGGGCGGTGGAGGAAGATAGGGGAAGAAGAAGAAGAGGGAGACAGGGGAGGGCGGAGGAAGCAAGGTGACGGTGGAGGAAAGTAGGGGGAAAAAGAGGGGAGAGTGGTTGAGTTTGTTTTTCAACTTTAATTTTTTAATTTTTTTTAATTTAAAAATAAAAATTATATATTTAATTATTTGCTGATGTGGACGCCAATGTGGATGCTAACATGGCAGTCTCCGTTACAAATTTAACGGTGGTAACAGACTGTTAGTCATATCTTGACCCGCAACTATAGTTATGGATATTAATTTGTATATTGATAGTTGAGGATATAAATCTCCGATCCATAATAGTTATGGATATTATATTGTATTTGCCCATAAAAAAATTCCAAACCACTCATTATCACTTTATACCACATTCGTTTGTAACTCAAATTTGAAACAAAAATATAAAAAGAACGAGATTTGATATATTTCTAAAAAAATTACCACCATAATAGAAGGTGGTAACTGATAAGTGGTAGGTGGTGAATTGATTATACTAACTTCAATCCAGGAGGTTATATTTAGCCTCCCAAACTTTCAAATTTGTATTTTTATCTTCCGAAATACATTTTTTTCTAACCCTACAAACTTCCATATTTTGTTATCTGTCCCATTTTATAAAAAAAATTCAATAAATCATACTTATTTGCACCCCATTTTTTGGTGGGTTGGGGAAAGAAAAGGTAAAAACTCCATTTCTCCAAAATTGACCCCCAAGGTTGGACATATAGGTGTCAATTGGGCGGGTTCGGGCTGGGTTCAATCGAATTGCGGGTTAGTTGGGTTGCGGGTTCGTCGGGTCGGGTTCAATCGGGTTCGGGTTCATCGGGTTTTGGATTGGGCGGGCTGCGGGTGGATTGGGTTACGAGTTGTTCGAGTCAACGCATCGAGTTACTTACTCGTTACCAACTTACACATTTATTACACTAATTTAAAATATTTTTCACAATTTTTAACCAATTTCTTTCTACCTCGTATATGTACTTAATTTAAAAAAAAAACTAGTCAAAATGTTGAATCAATTTGTATGACTTGCAAACTTGTCATGTACTTAATCATAACAGGTAAAGTTCAGTAGCTAATAGTAATTGTGATATCAACATTTGTAACCAATACACTATTTACAAACCATACATTCTGTAAACAAAAAACAACTCTAAAAAAAAGAAAAGAAGAAAACATTTTTCCTATCTCAACATTTTTGTGCAGCAATATAAATTAACATAAACAAAATTTGGGCACCAATATAGATCAATCCAAACAAAAATTGGGTGGCCTTTTGGAGCGGGAAGGAAGAAGTTGGGTGGCAATATATATCAAGAAAAAATAAAATTGGGCAGCATTTTGCAATGAGAAGGAAAATGGCCAAATGGGTAACAAAAAAGACATATTTTGTTGTTAACCAAAATCACAAATCTCTAAATACCCCTCATCACAAACTGCACCACTGTGGTTAGTGGTAACCACTAACCGATGCGGTTCGGTGTGGTTAGTTTGTGGTTAATCGCAAAAACCAATTTACCAACCTCAAAAACTTGATCTATATTTTTCTTATAAGTTCGTTATCAATAAAAATAAGAGAGATATGAAGGATAACAAAAATGGTAAAATATGTGAATCATATATCACATATGAAAGATATATCCCTAACCACAAAATTCATAATTTTACTAACCACAATAAAATCACTAACCACAAAATGCGGTTAGTGGTTAACCAACTACGTGTGATTCGGTGTGGTTTGTGGTTAAACCGCAAACCACAAAGCAAACTTTCACCCTATCTATAATATTAAGGTTTACTATAGATAATGACTTAGTAACTAATGTTGAGACAAAAAGCTTGACTTAGCAAATCTAATATTTTAGGTCAACATGTTTGGAATATATGTTATTGTATTTCCATGTTGGACTAAAAATTTATGCAGGGAAGAATCAAAAGATGCAAATCAATGTAAAGGTGAAAGAAGCTATTTAGAAAAAGGAAAGTATTCAAATTGATTGCTTGCCTATAAAAGAGTTACCATAAAAAGGGAAAATATTCAAATTGATTGTTTGCCCCCAAAGGAGTAACCATATCAACAAGGATCCACTTGCCATAAGAAGCATTACAAAAGAAAGGAAATGGAGCTAACACTGCCACTATAAATAGTAGAGTTCTTTGTAGGCTAGAGCACTTTTTGCAAAGTTCTCTTCTCCCTTGTAATAACGAAATACAATGATCATATTTCGTGGTGTGAATAGCTTGATATCTCGGAGGTTGAGATAGTCGAGCTAGGTCGGGTTTTAGGGTAGGAAGGGTATTTGTAATTGGGACTAGTGCAAGAGCAAGAGAGGATTCTTGCTTGGAAGTTGCACTAGGTGGATTGCTCTTCAATCAATTCAAACTAAGAGTGTTGACTTGATTGATTGAGTTAGTAGCTTAGCTTGGGTTTAGCTAAGGGTTGAATAGGTGTAGAGTTGCACCTATTTGGTTCTTGACACGAGGTGTCAAGGTTGTTTTTATTTCATAGGTTAGAGAGTCTTTTATTTTAATAAAAGTTAGAGTCTCTCGTGAGATAGTGGCAACTATCTACGGGACGTGGATGTAAAGTCATATTGACCTAGCCACGTTAAAATCGTGTGTCCCGACTCATCTCTCTCTCTATACCTTCTCTAACTTTGTTCTCTTCATCAGTGCAAAGAAGTGAAAGCTTCTATCATAGGTGGAACACGTTCGTCATAACAAATTAATCATTTCAAGAAAGATTCTTAGCAGGCCATTTTAGTTTGCTCAATCAAGCTAGTTCTAGTCTCTTACTATTGAAATTTGAATTAATTTGTGCATTGACCACGTCAAAAGTATTCATTATTGACGCCGCTTGGTCTAACAACTAAATGCTAAACTCTTAACTCATAACTACAAATATTATGATAATCTCAATGATAAAAAATTAAGTATATGATCTAAAATGTAAAATAATCTAAAATGTAAAATATAAAATTAAGTGAACCGACACAAAATTTATGATTCGTTTCGGGTAACCGACACAATTTTTTCGCTATTAGTGTCGGTTTAAACCAACACAAAATTATAAATTACGTTGGTTTTTCACCGATACAAAATAAAATTTTTTATTTTGGGAATAAGTTTCACATTATCAGTCAAACTTAAATTTGATTTTTCAGAGGTTTAGTTCTACAAATTTCACAATTACCATTCACCACCCAACATTTCATCATCACCCGCTCACCACAATTGAAATTTGAAATTCCGCCTTCCCAACACAACTAAAATTTGGCCGCCCAAAATTTCATCATCACCCGCCCAAAATTGCTTCTTATCCCGTCATCTTCTCCAATAATAAAGTTTAGGACTTTGCTACGGTGACATGCATGTCATGGTGACATGCACTTTTCGGTCGACCTCATATAGGATCAGGTCGACCTAATATGTTGTTTCAGTGTAAAAACAGTTTTTTGGTGTCTACTTTGGAGATTCATATCTTACAATTGGCTAGATGGAAATTGGA